AACCGGACGTGCTTACACTGTGAAGTAACTATTTGGTCAGTTCCGGTTCATCTAGAGGATTTGTGATTTCGCCTCATCACCGAAAGAAGTCATATCGTTGTTGCATCGCGGTTGGGGGCCGATCAGTGGTGGTTTATACTGTGAACCCTGGTCTAGGATCGTTATGTTTCATCATCCTCTCATTCACCACCGATGCACAATAGGTGCCACGTACAATGCTGGCTGATTGAGATGCATTAAAATATTTTCTTTATGATCAAATGCAGTTTCATTATATTTATCACCTGCATTAATGCTTTAGGTATGGACAATAATTTATATCTTGTCTACTTCGACCTAAACCATTTCTAGGCTGCATGAGTGTCAATTAAACGTGCCTGACCTAGAGTGCCAAGATCAAATAATCTCAACACGAAAACCACAAACTTTATCAAGTATGACAACGCAATAGTTTCTAATACGAATGACTCAAGAATTATTCTGATTTATTTCCATAAACCCTTGCCAACTCGTTTATTTATTATGAGGCATTATTCTATCTAAAATATAATCCATCGCAGTCACTCTATTGAATAACCAAATGAAATTCTTTCACAACCCGCAGAAATTGCATTAAATAAGGTTTCATAATAATAACCTGTGTTTCATATCTAACTCACTGAATTCGAGAAATACGACTTCAATCAAATTCAACCTAGAAATCAAGTTCATTTTGTGCAAAGCTTTGGATGTTTGTATCGCTACACTGTAATGAAGCAAGCAGCGCTCGAAACCAAAAGTTCCCGTTATCTCAGTGAAGAGTACAGAAGAATTGCACGAGCACACAAGCTGGGATTTTCTAAATCAAATCTTGCCCAATGCTTTGACGTTAACAAAAGCACGATTAACAAGATAATCCATGAGAAAACAACCACCAGAACAGCTTGTGTGGGCTGTTAACCGAGTACATCCAAACAGGAGGACGACCTCATTTGTATTACTCTGAAAAAACATTGCAGAAAATCGTTGTCGTCTATCCAACGGGAAGATCTTCCCCGCCATTCTTACTGCCTTCTGCAAAGAAGAATGAAAAAACTTAAGATGCATCAGGTTTCAGCTGACGTCAGGCCAGCACTGAACGCGCAGCAAAGGCAGGCGCGTATTGACTTTGCTAGAGAATTCAAATCTTGAAGTTTATTTCGTCGACGAGTGCATGGTGTGTTTTGGAAGGCCTTAAGACAAGAGACTGCAGGTGAAAAATAAAAGTATGCCACATCAAATCAAGTAGTGTCTTCACTCTTTTAGTTCGAGCATAGTTGTAAAGCACTGCCTAAATGAAACAATTACACCTAAATGAGCACGTTTCCATAGATATGTGCAGCACAGACGCAAAACGTAGTTCATACGTAGACATGGATGCACAACCATCCGCCCATACGTGTCAGTACACAGAAACAAACACACATTCAAGGATTCTTCTTCACCCACCCAAAATGTTTTTCCCTGCAATCAGCATACTTAGACAGAGATTCCACAAAGAAATCATGGTATAAAAACAACCTTGGTCGAAAACATGTGAGGCTATCGGCTTGAATGAACTGACCCAATACGAAATTCGGAGGGACCAACTTCTCCGATACTACATTGATCACAGTTGTGAAGCTTCACTATCAAGAACGTATTGGTTTCAATTCCACTTAATAACTATGTTGATTAAGCGATGAAGTATCGTGATAGAAATACCATAAGCAGTGGACAAAAATTCTACCGGCAAGAAAACGACACATATCCGGTTAGAAAATATTAGCCCAACAATTTCCTCACCTTGCATTTGTGGTGACTTTGTAAACTGGTTTAGATTTGACCTGGCTAGATACAGCACAGGTGATGCGTTCCACCGTGCCCCAAGATGCATTGGATTGAGCGGTTGGTTCAAACAGTGCCGGATAGGCCCGTACCTCAAGCATCGACAGTCCGGAACCGGGCACATGTGAGTTGTCCACATGGAATGGGGGCACATGAACCGGTTGACCGTTTCGATACCAGTAAACTTGTTGTAACGGAACTCGTTGCGTCTCACCGTTCGCATGTTGATTTGGATCCTCCACCACACGAAATTGACAGGCCAAACGTGCCGGTTTATGCTCAAGCAGAATTGGATAACCCATGCCTGACTGCTGTCCATAATGTTGCTGTTGTGTTCGTTGCTGCTGCTGTTGGTGCAATAAACTGGAGTGTTTGATTTGGTTTCCAATATCAACCGGTTCTTCCACAGGGGCAGCACCACTTGGTTGACCAACCGGTCGTCCCATAGATGAACCAATTGCTCCGCGACCGGATCCAGACTCCGAGCTTGGAGTCACAACATCATTGCTGCCCGTATATGGTTGTTCCGTGTTCAAGATGAAAACACGTGGATTGATCGGTTCATACAGTTCCCAGTCCATCATGTAATAAGCCACTATTGGTTCCTAGCAGAGGAATAATATGAGGAAAGGAAAGATCGTGGTTAACATTTGCTCGGTGATGAAATTCGGCATATTTGCTTCCGTCTCCTGTTTGACAATAAGGAGCATTTTAGTTGGGTAGTAGAACAAAACCGGTCCAGAACTAGTAGGTACATGGTTACTAGAAGACGTTGCCTGGAGTGGTGGTCTTCATGGGATTTGAACACAACAGACGTATGCTATAATATGCCCAAGAGTTGTGATTTCAATTACACGGATTTGGCTCCTCTGCCACCGCTTCAAGACTCGTTCCGATCACTGAGCAAGTACTTTTTGTGTTAGCTACGATAGTAGTTTACGTGATGACCAAAACCTGCATTTTCCTATTTGAGACTTATCAGCAACTAGTAACTTTGGTGCTCCCGTCTGCACTCGAAAAGCGACAAACACTTGGGTTGGGAACAAAAATCTTTACCCTGAACTACACGTTCAACAATCAACATTTTGACCAAGCGCTACAACCAATGTTGGATATCATGTTCGGATATTTGGTCATCACTGAGATTGTCTTCTGCATATAGATGCATTTAGGAAGTGAAAGCGATGCCCCAGACAATCAACAGTGCCAGTGATTGTGTTCAATAGAGGGCTGGCAATTTTGAAAATCTTTAGATATTTGCGTTACTCACATAAAACGATTGATCATCAGTGATATTGGATACAACAATCCAACATGAAGTGGACAACAAAGTAACCGTGTCAGGTGGGAAAAAGAGACTTGGATATGAGACTGACTGAAATTCCACTCCATCGTTAGTGTGATGATAGCGTGAATTAAATCCAAAAACAACATGCTCTACATCGTGCAAACTGAGCTCTGCAACCACACCTGAAACTGATCTCATCTCACATGTCGATGTTATGAAAAATACACTTCCCCACATCAATCACCAAAGAGATTTTATACAGTCGTGCTTTTCACGTGCACAACAAGAATATCAACGATTTGTATACCCTTTCCATCGATCATATACAGTTGAGGCTGATTTATACACTTGCATTGACAAAAACAGCGATCTGCCGAACAAACTTCAGGAATAGCCTACGTTAAGAATGTAACCTGGATAAATTTATACGAGGGCTGTTCAAAACATTTTATACAATATAAGTTTGTGTCAGTGGACATTCATTTGGTGTGGATGGTTTTCCGACCTCTACAATTTTGGATAACTTTATAGACCTTCAACTTGTGTGATGACAGTTACTGCGGCGACAAGAATGCCTTATTTCCGACAGATTTTACGATGTTATATATATATATATATCCCGTAAAATCAGAACTGATTGTTCATAGCCAATAACGCACTATCAATTAGAGTTGACAACATTTATATACAGGTTTTCAACTCAATTGACGGTATATTATTGGCTATGAACAATCAGTTCTGATTTATATTAAGGGAGCAATTGCTTTCACCTCTAGTGTACAGCCATTCTAACTGACTTGAAAGGTGTCTTTTCGCCTTGAACGCTTGTGACCGATGAGCATACGTCAACTGTCAAAAGACCACATTGTCTTACCTCAGTTTCCCATGGTGATGGCGTTTCGAATTGACACCACAATTTGACTGGAGCTTCCGGTGACAGCGGGTCACGAATTTTAGCCCAGGCCAGCCGGGGTCCGATTTCCACAAATCCACTTTCGTGCACGCCGGGCTTGTTCGCGGTCACCGTGCGGCTGGGTGGTTTACCTTTCGGTACCTTGTCATAATCTTCCGAGGACGGAAGGATTGGTTCCCGCCACAACCAAGATTGAATCTTCTGGTTTCCGGTCACTGGACAATGTATAATCACCTAAAATGCGTACCACGGGAAATGAAAATCAATATGGACATTTAACTACCAATGATACAAATACAGTTGTTAGAATTGTAAATAAAGCACTAAGGGACATCGTCAAGGTGTCATCAAGGTTGCACATTGCAAATTCAGCTATCTTTGTTCAGTAAATTTATGCCGGTTGTGTCGATTTCCTGTGACAATTAGCGGTGAGCATTTCGCTGGACTTTCGTGGACCCACAGTGCTCATACGCGCACGCACACAGACACGTACACAGACACACACCCAGGTCCCACCTATCTGAATTATCCTGTCACATGTACTCACGTGCACCTTGACGGTCTCAAAGATAGCAGCTGACCTTTTTGCTTCGAAATCGGCTTTGTACAGCTTTTATCCTTGTCTCGACTCAGCACACGTGTGAAATTTCGAGCACCCTATGAATGGTTCAAATCTGCGCTCAAGTTCCACCTCAGTTCTCATTCGAGCCTAGTTTATTGGACTCTACAACCGCGTAAACCCAACAAACGTTAGTTCTAATGGCAACCGGAACAACTGACTCTTTCCCGCACCATTATATTGCGTTCCCCGAATCCCAGCGGAGTCAAATATTCAATTTATTAATACGCCACCCTGAAATCCGGAATCCCGTTAAAAGCTGTATCCTGCACTCCCGGTTAATCACTTTTTGATTATACATTATTTTTTCACGTCAACTGATCCGAGTATAGTTTAGAATCAACACCCAATTGTGGTGGAACTGCCTCGTCGTTTAAACAATGTATCACACTGCCCTCGGTCAACCTATCCTCGGTTCAGAGTAGTTTCGGTTGGTACTGCAAATCTTGGTCACTCTGAGAAGAGTTCCAGGAGAACCAGTTGCGTTCTACAAGTATGCGATGAATCCCATTGATGTGTGCGCAAATAATAATAGGTTTGTCCGTAAAATAATATATGAAGTACTCGTCCCTTGACGACCGAAATTTTTACTCCAAAAGTTAAGTGATTTTCAGTAGGATGTACTGAACCGGATTTCCTTATCGCCGATTCTGATGAATATACAGATAAGTTTTGGTTAACTATCCTCTCGTTCAGGTTGATAATTACCTATTCTATCAGTAATATTCACGGGAAACACAGATAAAACACCAAACGGTTTTAGCGCAATCCCATTGTTTTGCGATTCCTCTCGAATGCGTGCAGGTGAGATTGAGAAACTCAGTGTGTACGAACTTGTGGTCACCTCGCCATATTAGACTCATTTGTGGAATTAAGCTTAACCCTGGTCAAATTGATTGTATCATGGATAATGCCCCAAGAGATTGCGGAACACCTTTTTCCTCGAGTAAAGAATTCACTTCATAATGCGGTGGTGGTCAAGTGGTTAAGATGATCATAATAGCAATCCAGAAGTCCCTGGTTCGAACCCCGCTACCGCCATCACCATCTAATTTTCTTCATTTTCCCCGAAAGTCTTGTCATAGCCACGGCCCCCTACCTGAAGGTTACTTGTATATTTGTACACTCATTGAACCAAAAAGGAATTAAAAATACTTATTTATGAACTATTTGTTATGATGAATGAATACTCAGTAGCCACATAATTGCTATGCATGAGGTAAGGAACAATATAGCACAGGAAAGTTACCAATAGAACTATGGAAAACCTTGCAATGACAATACAATAATGAGAATCCGTTTAGCATAGTATTCAGTTGAAATTACAAGGCCCTAAATATGTGTATTTGTGTGAAATCTAGGACGGTTGTAAGCCTCACTGTGTGCGTGTGCGCAAGTGTTTGTTAGGGGAAAATTATGTCAAAACACTTCTTGTGGAGCAGCCGGAGATGTTGGATCGCGGCAAGGTAAGCCAATGCTACATCAATAAGCAGCGTACTATTATGCACAGGCATGTAAAATGTAGAAAAATGAAAAATAGACGTTGAGAGAAAATAGCTTCTTGTAGTGTGCTTTGTGTGGATGGCAAAAAACGGAGATTCAAGGCTTTGAATACGAGTAAACTGCTGTCGGTTGGTGAAGTATTCGGAAGTAATCATAGAAGGTTGAACAACGCTAGATTTGCAGATGCTCAGAAATATCTTCCTTTATTTGAATTGGTCCCACTTTAGACTCCGTCATCCCGCACAATTCGCAATTCCTCCAGTCAACCGTACACTCGGTGAATGAGCACTACTTGTGGGCTTCAGTCAGAGGGAAGTTCGAATCTAATGCTTACAAAGTGTACGGCTAACCGGATAAACCGAGGAATTCGCATCAAGATGTTGTTTGAAAAGTGATCATCTCAAACAAATAACATTCATTTTACAACACTACTCACAGATAGATGTGGGTTAAATGCCAATATTTCCCTATCCATATTGTTGAGTGTATCCTTGTTTGCTTTATTGATGGAGGAGTGGAGAGAGAGAAGCACGGGTAGTTAGGGTACCCTGGGAATGGGCGTCCATAAGCTGATTCAGGTCCTCGACTCTGAATTGGGGTGATAAAAGCAGGTGCCTGTCTCATATCTTTGAGACAACTGAAGTGGGGGCAAGGCGTTGAACTTTTCAAGAGAACGAGACACCGTCAGGCCTTTTGTCTTGCTGATATTTAGCTGAATCAGTTTATTATGGCTATTGATGACGGCAGTTAGACTTGCCGGGTTCTTATCTTATTGATTTCGCGTGATTGAGCAAAACGACCTCAGAGTTAATGAATCTCTGATTCTGGCATTGTATATCCACCCACAGGAGTTAAGCGGTGGGAGGGGTTGATGCCGAAATTCTGCCTGAGGACTTTTCAGGTCTTGTGGCTGATTGGTTGTTTAACCTACAGACAAGTGTGCATACAGTATAGCTGAGTTTATACAGTGCCTCCTTGATGGACTTTTAGATCGTGTCCTGAAAGTGAGTCAGAATCCAAGATTGCTAGAACATCGAGAGATATAATTACCGAAAATAAATCACCGAGAGACACCTAAGTGTTTGGGAACGTAAAATAGTTAAATACAATTGTGATTAATTCATTTTTTTATATGACACCTGTGTGAAAAACAACAGACGATGTGGCCCCCAAAGTCACGAAACCTGTTGTTCAGTCATGCAATTCGGTAAATTAAGCCCTGGAACTTGGTGTGGTGAACCGCATAAGGCCCCACTAGGTCAGGCGTGGTATTGAACCGGACGACAACAATGCTGTCTCCTACCAGTGTGGCTTGAATTTCGGAACATTAGGTCCAAAATAAGCCGGGAACAGCGACTTAACGACTGCATCACCACCACAAATACCACTAATATTGTATATAAGCGGTAACTGGAGGCTCGACAATCACACCAAATAGTTCATTATTTCATCTTCATTCTCGTTGCGAAGACGGATTTATTGCTGCCTGATGAAACGAAGCGGAGAATAGTCGCTTTGTTTGTTTGGCTCCAAAATAGAGATCGAACATAAGAGCCGAGAATGATGGGCACTCACACCTAGGTATATCAGAAGAGATTATTTGTTCATAAAGAGCATATCCGAGGGACATGATACGCTCACTTGGATTACAATATTTCTTTTCCTGATGTTCTTTTCTTTTTCTTCGTTTGTTACCGTCTATTCATATGCATAATAACGGCTCCTGTAGATCAAAACCAGTGAATATAGTTCTACATGGCTGAGAAACATCATTCGGACATACTTGAAATAACCTTTCTCTTCGTTTTAGCTCAAAAAATCCACAACGACTGTTGAAACTGAAATGAAACTGACTTTGTTCTTATTAGTATATTTTATCACATAATCCAACGCGCAATACACCAAAAGGGCTAAATCTCATATACTACTGTACATGTGTGTGTCTTTTTACTTCCTTTTTCTATGTATTGAATATACAAATGTACAGTTAACATCCAGGAAGGGGGGCCGCGGCCATACAAAGGATGCCTGGGAAGACGGGCGGTGGTGGAGCGGTTCGAACCCCGGACACCCAGGTCACAAGTTGGTGACCTAACCACATGGCCACCACCGCCCAAAATGAAATGTATCTTTGTGGAATAACCTATTCAGAAGCAAGCTGTTGCTTCAGCGCTCGATGAGTGTAAAAATGGGAAATGTGGATCAGTGAAGATTGTTCCATGGCTTTGTGGTTCCCGGAGAAAATATAGACATAGAGAGGGAAGAATTGTGATGTACATCGCCTTAGAAACGATGATTCACTGCCTATGTTTGAGTGAACAGAAGGGGATTGGGAATGATAGCAACGAAAAATGGAGCGGGAAACAGC